GGAGGAGGAGGAGGAGGAGGAGGAGGAGGGGAAGAAGGAGGAAGAGGAGGAGAGGGAGGCTTTTCTGCTCAGACTGCCGCCAGTTGGAGCGGCCACGGGCACGGGGACACCCCACTCGTTGCTCCTCCGTTATGAAAAGGTGTTTAGCAGACTTTTACGCCCGGAGTGTGGGATTTGCACTTCAATTTTTTTTCTCTCCCCTCTTCCCCAAAGCAAGATGGACTCTATTCCCTTTCTCTTTCTCCCTCTGCCTCTGTCTTGTCAGCCTTTAAGATCGACATTTTGTACTAAGATGCAAACTTGATGGTGACCAGCAACAAAGCCAGGGTGGGATCTCTGGCTCCCTTCCTCCCTCTCCGTTTCCCAGCTCCCCCAACCCCGAACTGGTGGCCCTGCACTTGCCGCCCTGGGCACTGGGAATGTGTTTCCTCGCTCGGTTCCTGTCTCCAATCTCGGGATTGTGACCGGAGCCCGGCGTTTGGGCGACGGCTGTGGGTGGCAGCCCTGATCTGCAGGGCCGCGGGCTGCGCTACCTGGATCCGCTGCCATCGCCGTGCTACCTCCTGCCTGCTCCTGGGCACCTGGGAGGCTCCTGCTGCCGGCTGCCGATCGATTGCTATGATTTGGTTACTTACTGGTGTATTTGTCCTGGGGGTGGCGATCACTTGTGCAAGTTGATGAATGATCGCGGTGTGGGTTTTGGATTTGCAGAATGGATCAACTTTCTGCTTTGCACATACGGGGAGTAGGGAGAGAGGGTGCTTGAAACACCTTGAAATGCCAGCTGGGCTATCCTCACCCTCTGCCCTCTGAATACAGGGAACTTCTTGGCCTTTATTGCTGCACAGTTCCAGCATGGGGGTGGAGGAAGGGGAGGGGGTGGTGGGAGATGGACTTCTAGCTTCCGGATCCTTCATAGATGTTGCAGGAGTTGGGACTCTTGTAAAGCTCTACCATACTGATGATGTGCCTTTATTTGATACTTTATAGGTCACTATCATATGACAAAGGCTTTGCCGCAGTTCATCTTCTTCCAGTGTACTTTCCATTTGCCTTCCTGGGTAAGTATGCAAACTCTTCATACAGGAGACCTGGATGGCTGTTAGTAGTGATATAAGGGTCCTTACTGTGTACAAGAGGATGCTTTATTGGGGTTGCAACACCCCAGAAAGCTTGTTCCACTGAGGTTCCCACAACAGAAGCCAATTTAGGATTCTCAGTATTTAGATTTCAGCTGCTCTTACTAATATTTTAAGATTGTTTAAATGTTCATTTCACGCTTATCTGCAAGTAAGTGTTATTTGAAAACTTATTTTCAAATAGGTATTTTAATTGATAATGTGATTTACAGAATTGGAGGCCTAGGATATTTAATGCTAGATAATCTTGTGGAAAGATTGCAGCTTATGAATGGAGACAATTATTAAAATCCCAAAGAAGCATCGTACAGATTATAGTGAGCGGCATTTGCTTACTCTTTCCTAGGTTTCTTTTGTGTTGTTTGTGACAGTTACTTTTGTGGGGAAGGGTGGACTGGGTAGTGTAGTATATCTAGCATTTAGTGTACCAACCAGCTTGATTCTAAAGGCAAATAACTGTGACCAAATTGATCTTAATTTCCTTCAAAATTTAAGTATTTGGAGAAATTTGGTACATTTTAACAGCCTATATATACAATAAATAGTGACTTTGAAATTCATTATTAAGTGACTTTTACAGATGAATATCTCCCGTAAGGAAAAATCTGTGAAATAATGTGTGGGATAGCAAGTGTCTAAAAAGTTTGTGAGAAGTAATGAATGGTCTAGCTGAAAACTGAGAATTTATAGGGCATTTGAAGGCATCACGGTGAGCCCAAATGTAGAAAACCAACTTGTAATTTTGCCCCTCCGTTATAAGGAACTCCTCAGGTACTCTTAAGTTGCTGATATGTTAAGAAAATTGGTTGTACTAAATTGTGTAAATCAGCTACGGTGCTTTGTAATACTACCATAGTGAAGATGGGATTATATTTTGTGAATGAAAATGGACTTGGACTCAATTTTTCATAAAAGAAAAGGAAAAGGGAACTTATCTGTATTGTTTCTTGGCTTCCTGGGATTCTGTGTGCGTTCTTAAAGGTCCTCTTAGTATTAAGAGGAATTTAGTTTGAAGACCAGGCCTTTCTGGTAGTTTCCAGACAGTAGCAAAATATACTCTGACATTGCTGAGAACCTTAGCTGAGATATAGTATAAACTATTGCTGAGAATGTTAGCTGAGATATAATTTAAAATATCTAGCATCTTTTATGGAATGTAAATATCACATTACTTCAGGTAGTTTTGAGAACTTGCTAATATATCACATATAAAACAGTCCAATTGGAATGGTCAGAATGAGATGGTTCTGTAAGATGAATTTAGTGCACACCAAAATATGTGGATTTCATGTCTTTGATTTTTTTTTTTTTAAAGCTTGTTTGGAAGAGAAGTTTTTTCATTTTTGAACGTATAGCAAGAGTATTCAAAGTGCATTCCTGATTACTAAAGAACACCACAGTTGCACACTATTTTGTTCACTGGAGCAAACTTTTAATGTTAGTTTTTTCCCTCATGGATATATTTGACTAATTCAAAATTTAAAATGGGAATCTGCAATTTCCGCAATAAAAGCTATTTGATGGTCTTTTATATTTCTTTGAGATATCAAATAACTGCTTCATTAAAACACTATTTTCAAGAATAGTCTTGGTCTTTAGAGTCAGAGTAGTTTTTATAGTTCAAAACTTATTGTGGTAATCTAAAAGTCACCCTAACAGTGAATTGCTAGTTATTTGCATTTGAGACTTGATTATCAAAATAAGAATTTAAATAAAGGTTTTGCTTCTGCATTGCCTAGTTTTTCCAAACTTCACATTTCATTATTCTGCATATCTCTATTAAGTTCTGAAACTGAAGCTTTAATTCGCATTTCATTTTTTAAAAATATATTTTATTGATTTTTTTTACAGAGAGGAAGGGAGAGGGATAGAGAGTTAGAAACATCGATGAGAGAGAAACATTGATCAGTTGCCTCCTGCACACCCCCTATTGGGGATGTGCCCACAACCAAGGTGCATGCCCTTGACTGGAATCGAACCTGGGACCCTTGAGTCCGCAGGCTGACGCTCTATCCACTGAGCCAAACCAGTCAGGGCTTGCATTTCATTTTTAATGCTCGCTATTGAAAAGGAGAATCATCTATGCTGTTTTTCAGTGCTATGTACTTGGAGGTACTCTGGTAGTTATAGAAAGAATTTTTCACTGGAGACTTAGATATTAACAAAAATTTGCAATTTTCACACTTTTTAAAAAATTTCTTTATTGATTAAGTTATTACATATGTGTCCAGTTTTCACATTTTTAAAAATCCATCTTGATCGCCGAAACTGGTTTGGCTCAGTGGATAGAGCCTCGGCCTGCGGACTGAAAGGTCCCAGGTTCGATTCCGGTCAAGGGCATGTACCTGGGTTGCGGGCACATCCTCAGTAGGAGATGTGCAGGAGGCAGCTGATCGATGTTTCTCTCTCATCGATGTTTCTGACTCTCTATCTCTCTCCCTTCCTCTCTGTAAAAAATCAATAAAATGTATTTAAAAAAAAATCCATCTTGATCTTCATATCCAAATTTTAAAAAAAGTCCCAGGTTTAAAAGTTTGTTAGATAGCTCTGCTTTTAGGATACATATAGCTCTGCTATACAGTTTTAAAAGTGTATACAACTTTGACCTGTAGACCTGATGTTTATACTTAAACCATTGAAACAGAAAATTGTTTTTAGACATTTGAGTGAAGGCTAGGGTGAACATGTAATAATTTATTGTTCATTTGTGCTGTAAGAAACTATATAATTGATAAGGTTTTTTTGTATGTAGTAAAGAAAGAAGAAAAAAACAGTCTTAACCTGGTGCAACTCATAAAACCTAACTTGGCAGTTAAAGTTAGCCATATTTTTCAGTAAAATTAAAAGCATAATATTTAATTATTAATCAACAGTTAACATACTTAAAGTTTATGTTTTCCTACATTTCATAAAGAGCATGGGTAAGGCAGGAGCCATGTTTTATGGGATCGTACCATGAATATCAATTACTTTAATATTATAGAACTTTAATAGAAGTAATAAAGACTTCACATCTCAACCCTATTAAAAAATCTTTTTGAAAATAGACTCATTACAGGCATGCCTGTTTTTGTTGTACTAAAGGAAATCCTGAAATTATTGCTGTCTTACAAAAGTGCAAAAATGTTTAAAATTGTGATATTTAAATGTTCTAAATGAGTAAATTTTGGCAATTAACTGTGACATATTGCATCACCACCAGGGTGGCATACCTGTATTTTAAAATGGTAACTTAAGCAGGTGCTTAACTTAAGAAGACGACACTTCTCTTGAACTTATTTGAAGTCCACCTTGTTTTTTTAACATTTCATTGTGAAGGGTACCTTTTAAAATAGGTCTGAATGGTATCCTATATTTTTAGTCAGTTTTCTTCCTCTCACTGTGAAATGAAAACAATCTAAATTATAAGAGCATTGTAATTTCATGGCTTCGTTTTTTGTTTTTTTTTTAATCATATGCCCCAGGTAAATTGGTGCAGGTGGTCCTCAGGCTACACTTTGAGAACACTGTTCTGAGGGAAGTAAAGACTAAGGCTAAAGACCGAATAGAGGTTCTTATAGTTTGAAAATTCTGTGACAGTCATTCAATCAGTAGGTTTGTACTACCTCAAGGGCAGTTATCACATACTGAGCCGAATTGCAGAGATTTCTATATTTTAAGTCATACCTGAGGAAAGCACTTTGTGAGTATAGCTTCACTCAACATTCATATGTGTGCATATTATTCCGTAGAAGGCAATTACAGTTCCTTGAAATGCCAGGACATCATTTTAAAATGATAAAGGTATATACCCAGAAAAATCCTCATGTGTTAATGGGGGTTGTTTTCACTTTTTTCTTTCAAAGAAAAAGATAAGGTGAGAATTAAAATAAGTATCAATTATACAATGGAAATGTAACATAAGGCAAGCTACTAGAGAATTCTATCTAAAAGTATATATAAATAGAGAGAAGGTGGAAGACTAAGGAAATGAAAGACTTACATGATTAAATACTAATATAGACCATGAAGCATTGACACACCTAACAAAATATAAACTTAATAAGTTAAAATGTCTGAGTGGGTTCAAGGATATAGATCAGTGGTTCTCAACCTTCCTAACGCCGCAACCCTTTAATACAGTTCCTCATGTTGTGGTGACCCCCAACCATAAAATTATTTTCGTTGCTACTTCATAACTGTAATTTTGCTACTGTTATGAATCATAATGTAAATATCTAATATGCTATATGTGTTTTCCTATGGTCATGACCCACAGGTTGAGAACCCCTGATCTAGATAGTGAAATGACTTCAGGTATGAGGTGGTTGTATAAGATACAGAGTAAAAATAGGAATGAGTTGGATTTTATGAAGTCTTAGAAAAAATAAAAATATTGTAAAATACTGATTAAATAATTAAACCAATAGTTAAACATGGCCCTTGGGTAAAAAGATCAGGGAATAAATAAGCTCCTGGAATGGAATAACTGAGATTCTAAAAAGGACATGGAAGGATTTTATTCACGAATTATTCCATACAAGGATATAATGAAATAAAAGATCGATAATTTATTTCAAAGGAGAAATAAGAACAAGGACAAAAAATTCTTTAAAGTAACTATATTTCTTCAGTGTTTTTTAACTGAAATGTATGAAAGGAAATATCTTTTATATCCCAATCCACATATAAAAACTGAAACAAAAGTTTTCTGAAACAGTACTAAGAGCAGTGCCCTCTGATATTTTCTATTCCTATCCAACTCTACAAATCTAATCTGTTCCAAACCATTTTACTGAAAAATAAATATAGAGTGTCATCCACTGAGTTGATTTTTATGATGTACAGTTTGAGAAACACCAACCTGGAGTGCTTGCTAAAAGTGGAGGTCCTCAGGCCCCAGCCCCAGATATTCTGATTCAGTGTGTTTGGTGTAGGGCTCA